TTGGTTGACTGTCTAAGTTTTTGATTGACTTTCTAAGTTTTTGGTTGACTGTTCTAAGTTTTTGGTTGACTAAGATTTTGGTTGACTGTCTAAGTTTTTGATTGACTTTCTAAGTTTTTGGTTGACTTTCTAAGTTTTTGGTTGACTGTTCTAAGTTTTTGGTTGACTAAGATTTTGGTTGACTGTCTAAGTTTTTGATTGACTTTCTAAGTTTTTGGTTGACTTTCTAAGTTTTTGGTTGACTGTTCTAAGTTTTTGGTTGACTAAGATTTTGGTTGACTGTCTAAGTTTTTGATTGACTTTCTAAGTTTTTGGTTGACTTTCTAAGTTTTTGGTTGACTAAGATTTTGGTTGACTGTCTAAGTTTTTGATTGACTTTCTAAGTTTTTGGTTGAACTCAAAAAAAGATTTGAACTCAGAAATCACTAACTAGGGTTGTGGTGCAGGAGTAGAGAAGCCAAGCTTGTGATTGGAAGATAGCCGGTTCAACTCCAGGTTGGTCTCCATGTTGCACGTGTGTTCACATGTGTGATAGATTAAATGTAGAGACTTAAAGGAGACCTGTTATGCAAAATTCACTTTTTAAAAGTTTTTTTTTACTCAACTTTGGGTGTGTACTTCTTAAGAAAACAGTCCTAGGACCAAAAAATGCACCCAAGGGCATATTTACTGTAAGTAAATGTATTTTAATGTATATTAATGACAATTTTTATACATTTTGTGATGTCACAAGCCGTACGACAACMCACCAGAACGTGCGTTCAGCCTCTTACCTAGCAAACCCCAGGTGAAGTTGCTCCTCCGTATAAAAAGTTGTCACGGTGTTGTTGTGTAATGTGCAGCTCATTTTATAACAAGCCTCCTATAGCACAGTGGGTAGAGTGTTGGACCAGAGTGGRAGCATAATAGCATAATAGGTCTCTTTTAAGTCTCTGTATTTAACCTATCACACATGTGAACACATGTGCAACATGGAGACCATCCTGGAGTTGAACCGGCTACCTGGGCTAAAAGAGACCTATTATGCAAAATTCACTTTTTAAATGTTTTTTACTCGACTTTGGCAAATAGGCTTTAACAAGGCTTTAATAAGCTAAACAATAGAAGTACATGAGAAAACATGTTCATAACAAACAAAAATAAAAAAAAAATATTTTTTTTATGTCCAAGTTAGTCTTGTTCCCTAGTCTCCCACTCTCTGGTCCAACACTCTACCCACTGTGCTATAGGAGGCCTGTTATAAAATGAGCTGCACATTACACAACAATACCGTGATGACTTTTTATACGGAGGAGCAGCTTCACCTGGGGTTTTCTAGGTAAGAGGCTGAACGCATGTTCTGGTGGGTTGTTGTACGGCTTGTGACATCACAAAATGTATAAAACTTGTCATTAATATACATTAAAATACATTTACTTACAGTAAATATGCCCTTGGGTGCATTTTTGGTCCTAGGACTGTTTTCTTAAGAAGTACACACCCAAAGTTGAGTAAAAAAAATTAAAAAGTAAATTTTGCATAATAGGTCTCCTTCAAGTCTCTACATTTAACCTATCAAACATGTGCACACACATGCACAATGGAGACCAACCTGGAGTTGAACCGGCTACCTTTTGATCACAAGCTTGGCTTCTCTACTCCCTGCACCGCTACCCTAATATGTGA